AAAAAAAAAAAAAAAAAAGAAAAAGAAAAGAAAAGAGAAAAAAAGAAAATTGTCGTCGATTACTTATCTACGTCGTGGAACAGCAATGGCGATGACGAGGATGACGTGGCGCAACGACGAGGACGACGAGCACAGCGACGACCACGATTTTGACGATGACGATGATGACGTGGCACGGCGACGACGTTCTCGTTGATGATGGCGTAGCACGGCGACGACGATGACAATGACGATGATGATGTCACACGGCGACTAAGCAGGGTGGGTCGGGCGGGTTCGAACAGCTCCGATACCAGTGTAACGAGCGCGTGGTTGAGGAAGACAGGGAGATTCAAGGAAGAGGGGAGAGAGAGGGAGAGAGTGAGAGCACACACACACACTCACTCACTCGACACGATTGAGGGTCGGACGTAGACACAGTGGCAAGGACACAAAGTCGAAGTCTTGGATTCCAAATGCCGAAAACGGGAGCAAGTCACACTGAGTCCGAGTACAACAGCTGAAACTGGTACGAGACAGGTTGTCCGTACTGTACGGGAAACTGGTCTAAGTGTCGGTGACTCGTATGGTACCAGGGGCATCTCTGCAAAAGCCCCGAGGGCAGAACTGAAAAATGGGGTATTTGAAAATGGCGTCCGAATTGTAGCATGGCGTCAGTTGTCCAAAATCTGACGGTACCAAAGGAGGGGTTTGAAGAAAGGGTGCCAGGCCAAAACGGGATGCAGCAAAAACAACAGCGAAATAGACCAGGTGTGGGGCCCTAGCGGAGCCCGTAACAGCTGGTGTTCATTAGTCCGCCTCGTAGTGTCAAAATATTCCCCCAAATGATTTTCCAAACATGAAATTCATATTTTCATTGTGCATAAAAGGATTGATGGGAGTCCTTCGGGACAGTATGTGTGAAAGAAATAAAATTACAACGATACAGAGAAGATTATTGATAAGCATGCGCCCTGGTCAAGGATGACACACATAAATCGAGAAATGGTCCAAAACTCTCTCCCAATTAAAAAAGAAAAAGAAAAAAACGCTATGGGTTCGACTTTAGGCATCACCATAGGATCTGTGTAATGAAGTGTGTTGTATATATAGCTGCGGAAGTTCTGTAAACTCTAGACTGACAGTGTCTGAATCGGATGCTAAGATGGCTCAGAATGTCTTAGCAAAACAGATGAACAAGCTAGGGAGATGGGGGAATGTTTCCACTTCATTATTCGGGACAGCCCTGGTTATTAATTCCTCAGTATTCTCTATGATGTGGTATATAGCATCCATATGGACGGTACCGGACAGCTCAATCAGGGATCTCAACCGTAAAGCGCGCTCTTATCTATGGTCATGAGACCCGAATAAAGAGAATTGTTTACCCAAAATTGCATGGCATTACATCACAAGGAAACCACTAAAAGGGGGCCTATGAATCATAGACCCTAAACAGTTTCGTCAACTACTTTACGTAAATTAACTATCCTATTAGACCTACTACTTGTCTTAGCAATCGTTGTAGCTTCTATTGCTTGAAAACGTGATTTATTAGCTGTTGAAAAGAATCACAGACTTTTTGGCTTTCTTAAACCCTAAACCCTAAACGAGGCAGCAGCCAGGCTTTATTGGTTGATTGATTGATTGATTGACTGATCGAATGATTGGTGGGGGAGGGGTCCTCCCTCCCCTCCCCCCCACACACGCGCACACACACACACACACACACACACACACACAAATGGCAAGCCCGCGGTGGAGCGGGGGAGAAGGTGCGACAATGGGCGGGCGCAAGTCGCAATGTATATTTCCATTTTCTAGCGGGAGATTCATTCCATTTTTCTCCTCTTGGTGGGAGTACCATGAGCCCAGCCGCGAGATTGGAAACTTACCTGTTCTCTCTCTCTCTCTCTCTCTCTCTCTCTCTCTCTCTCTCTCTCTCTCTCTCTCTCT